TTCTCCCTGTCATCCAATTCTTCATCTTTATCATCATCTTGTTATTGTTTCATTCAGCTACTCTATTGATATTGTAACATTGATCACAGTTGATACAAAAAAATTGATACAAAAATTGATACTAAAGATTACAATTTTGGGTTCCATTCACTTTTCATCCTTTTTTGTTTTCATTCCCAATTTGATATTATCATTACAATGACTATCTTTACTTTTTGTCATAAATATAAAATCATATTTCTGCATTTTCCCCGGTAAACAGTAAACATTTATTGATTCTGGTTTTACCTTAACCTGGTTGAAACCAGTGAATTATGATAGTTTTGACATTTTATTTTGCTTCTTGTTTAATGTAATGTATAATTTGAAGTGAATTTGATATGAAAATTATCATGTTTATGTTGTGTTCATGTTATAATTATCATGAATCTCTATGTAGACATTTGAACGCAATTTTTCACTGTTTTTGTTTGCCATTATTTTTGGGTTGAAACTACGTGATAATATCCTATTTGGATTGTCCAATCATCTTTTGATTTGTCTCTAAATGAGGAAAGTAGAAGCATCAATCATCATCATTTGGACCAAGGAAATTATTGTCATCAAAGAGTAACCATTGGCTCCATTTCAATCAACAATCCAATTTTTGGAGAAAAGGAAAAGTTGGAAGAAACAAGAAAAAAAGAGGAAAAACTGAAAGTCATTTTTCACCATCTCTCAACCCATTTTTGTGTCTCCTCTTCAAGTCTTTACCTTTCATCCAAGACTCTTCAATTTGCTATCATTTTTCATTTTTCAATTTTACCATTCCATCATGAAGGCACATTTTCCTTATCAATGTTCCCTGAACAGATCTCAGATAAATCAATTATTATTAGTCCAATTTGAGTGTTGAAGCAAAAGGCTGAAGTTGAATTTTCATTAACAAATGTATTTACATGTTAACCTTGTTGGTTCATTTTTCATCGCTTGTAAACTCTCAATGTTAAATGGAAACACCAAAGATTCTGATTCATGATTAACAAGGAGAGCAACAAGGATGAACAAAAGTATCAACAATAACAAGATAATAATGCTCTTCTGATGTGAAGGAACCTTCCCAGCCATTATTACATGAAATTCTTGAACAATTCTGTTTTTATATACAACATCATTACCAGTGAAACCTCAGACTTACGGCTTCCTGTTACCATGGAAAGCGATGAACTACAAAAGGAAAGGAAGATTGAAGTAGACTCATCATTATAATCATTATCATCTTTACTCTAATTTCAAAGGTTGTTATCCGCCTTTAGATTTTCAATGATAATCTGTTTCCAATGATTCTTCCGGAAACTGATCACCGATAAATTTGTACATCCAATCTTTTCTCTTCTTTGTATTCTCATTCTTCATCCTTATCTTCATCTTTATCCTCTCGATTTGCTTCTCTCATCTTCTTACAACCGGAAGGTAACAATGCAGTAACTTTCATCTCAAGTGTTTCTCATCATGTTGATACACATTGAAATAACTGGGAATCAATCAGGTGAACAGAAAACAGGAAAAAATCTTTCTCCTCACCTTTTTTCCTTCCCTTCCAATATCTTCAAGATGGATTCCCTCATCATTATCATCATTTTTTGTTCAATCTTTAGCTTGTTCCTCTTTTTTCAACTTTGCTTTATATTAATCATCATTCCAATCATCACATCATAATACTTTGAAGGATTATTAACAAAGTATCATCAGAGAAACAATAATGATTATGATGATCATGATCAAAGTTGAACAGTAAAGGAAAAGCAAAGGAAATTGGAAACAAGTAAATGGCCAGAATAAAGTAAAATATATCAAAATTGTTGATGTTTACATTATTATTTGATTTCACTTTTCATCCGTTTTTATTAAGTTAAAAGCATTGTTATTTACTTTGATTTACAATTGATTTGCATCGATTTTTCTTGTTCATCATTCACATTACCTTGTATTGATGTTTTACCTTTTCTCATCTTCTTCCCTCTTCCAGGCATCATCTTTAGGATATAACTGATCAAAATGCGAGACAACATTTTGCCATTACACTATCCATGGGTTAAGGATAAACCTTTAGAAGAGGATTTCCATTATCATCATCATTTACCCTTCTTATCATCTTCACCAGCTCTTCAGTTGCTCTCCCTTGGAAACAATGGTTATGATGAAGATTGAAATTTCATTGCAACAACTTGATTCCTTTCACTTTTTTTTAAAGAAACTCAATGATTTTGATGAACAAAAACAACTTTATTGATGAACAGCAATTCACTGAAGATGCCTTTTTTTGTTCCTCTAAATCGGCTTAACCAGTTTAACCATTATTGACTCAACTTGAATATTACATCAGTTAAAAGGTAAAATTTTACCCAAACATCGATTGATCCTAGAAGGTGATCAACTTGATGGTTAAGAGATGAATTTAATCTGATGAAAAATTACTCCAATGAAGACAAACGTTTTGCTTCTCATGATAAACTGGTCTCATTAACAGGTTATTAACACTAAATGGACAAATATTTCATCTTTTTGTCAATTGGTTCAATTTAATAAATCAGTTTGTGATTTATTTATGATCTTACATTAATCGTCTCAGCTTAATTTGATTTGCTTTGGATCAAAGTGTATCAACTTGATTGGGAAAATCCAGTCTCTCTCTCATTGTTTTCAATGTAATTGTTTGTATCATTTATAGTCTTTTTTTTGGGACTCAAGTTTTGGTTCCTTTTTTTACTGGCAAAAACATCTCATTAGACAGTTAATTGTACTTCCTCTGAGTCAATTTAAAAGACACAGTCAGATGGAGTCAAATAATTTAACAATTATCAAATGCAAGTCAACATTTCCTCTTCAGCTTATGCTTGATGTTTAATGATATCTTCAAATGTAATACACTTTCGCCTTTTCAATCTGATTGTTCATTTTGATAAAAAGACACCAAATGTCTCTTTTTTTCTCAGCAAAATTTACTCTCATTTAAAGATGAAACACACAAAAAAAAACACTAAATTTACAGAGAGTTAATTAAAGTTGCCTTTTTTTATGGGGAAACTTGAAATACTCTGAATTGGATGAGTGAAGAGAAGTAAAATCAAATTGTATTTCCATGAGAAACTATCATTTCTCAAGATTTTTTCATCCGATTGTTGAATGTAAATTCAATTATATTCTGTACTTCAATCAGTCTTCAATCAGATTTTCAACCAATTAAGATTCACGTGTTGTGAGGGGAAAGTTTTTTGCTATTGATTGGAAATGGTTACTTTGAAAATGGGTTGATTCGTGTCTCTGTATTATACCAGAGTTTGAGTGATGCCAAGGGTTTGACAAGGCTTGACAATTAGTTGATTGTAATTACCTTTTGTCTTTTTCATGTGACAATCATTATTTGCCTGTTATAACGAAGATGATGCTGATAATGGTGAAATGTATAACTTGACAAGCTCATTAAATTGAGAAAATTGTTAAGAATTGGAAACAAAATGAACCACAGAGATGAAATGTTCAACAAAATTGCTGATGTAAGGTAAAGATGGTGGAAGACAATTAAAGGAGTTTAAGATGACCCTTTTATTTGTGGATGATCATATGAACTGAATTTGATGGTGGTAATGATGAGAGTGAGAAAAGCAGGATAAATAAGATGAAAGAAGGTAATTCTTAAGCGTGATCCTTGGATAAACGTTAATACTTTTGCTTGAACAAAGAGTCTTGAGATTCATTCAAGTGAATTGCTCGACTCTCTGTTTCTCTCTTCTTTTTTAACAACCAACTCTTAATTGATGATTAGTGAACCTTGATTGTTAAGACCATAGATCATCAGACCATAGTGGAGACAATTTCAACAGATAACTGAAAGATGATCAAGAACCGGCGAAGGGTGATAAAAATAACGATGAGAGGCAAGATTAACAAGCAACCATTTTGTTTCATTATTTGGCTTATCCTTTCAAAGGCAGAAGGGATTTCATTTTCAACAAAATGAGGTGACAATGAGATACTCGATAACTTTAGAGTTTCCTACAAACACAAATTTCGATAAAAGTGGGGATAACAAGTGATTATATAGTTGTTGAGTTTTTTGAAGGAATCTTGACCAAGCAGCATCCATTTATAGTTACGATAACATGTGAAAGCTATTGGGAGGTGAGTGGTTCAGAATGACTAGCATAGGGTTAGAAAAGATCATTCTGACGCTGTCTAACTTGAGCTTATTCGTGATAGGATCGACGGTCTTAAGGAAGCTCGATCTTAGCTCTTTCACGTCCTCACATTCTTGGATTTGACTATAAACGTGTCCATTTTCGTACTCTTACCTGCAGTTGTTTCTTCACGACTGTGTTTTGTGGCCGTTTGCTTCCAATTTATAAAACGTAAAAGGAGCAAGAATGTTAGGAATGGATTAGACAAGTTTTGGGGAAGTCTCTAATTTTAGTCAATTTTTTCAAATAAGGATTCAATTTTAGGAAGATATAATTTGTCATAAAATTTTGTTCAACTTTTAGTTTAACAGTCTAGGGATGTTTTGGTTGATTTTACAGTATCAGACTGGCATCTAGTGTTCATATTACGTAACTTGAAAGATTTTCAAGTTTTTAAAAATTAATCTGATGGAAGAGATCAGTTTGAGTGGGTTGCTTGATTGTTATCAAGTTGTGTAAATAAAAATTAAATTAGATCGTATTGCGTCAAAATTTAATGCTTCGTCAAAACCATTCAGTTTGAAATTCAGTTACGAGTAAAAATAAAAGAGCTAATTTAGAGTTATACTCTGATAATATAATTTGCAACTTATTATTTGATGGCAAAAATGTGTGCGTCTACAATTAGAAATCGAGTGCACTAGTAAGTTTATAGTCCTCTGATAATTACTAAAAATTATATTAATTAGATGGAAAAAAGATTTTGAAGTTAGAATGATTGATGAAAGAAATTATTTGGCGGCCTGACAAGAAAATTTAGAAATAAATAATTGATATAAAAAATTGAAGATTTACAAATTACGTTTAATATATAATTGGTTTTAATAGATACATGGTATGTTTATGTTTTCAGTGTGATGATGATTATGATTTAGATAACAATTTAAGTTCTTAGTTCCGTCTTCTACGAACTTTAGATATTCTCCATGCATTGGGTTCTTCATATTTATTATACAATGGTTCAAGTCTTAATTGTTTCTTCTGTTTACTCAATTTAGTAGGATCAGCAAACTTGAAAAATGATGCTGCAAACTCGACTAACCATTTAGGATCGATGGTAGTTACTTCTCTCATGTATTCCTTAGTAGTTAAAACTAATTCATGATAAACAACCCATTCGGGTTGACGATTGAACAAAGCACTAGATGGATGAATGTAAACAACTTGATTGTCAACTAATGTACGATAACCTTCTTGTGGATCTTTTTTGGCAGCATTCCTGAAAAATCCAGAACAAATGGCCTTTTGTACTCGAGCTGTGTTGCGACCACATGAAACAACATCCAGGCTGTGTCGATCCATGATACCCAGCAATTGTTTACGGACATCTTGAGCACGTTTAAGAGTACGAATTTGAACAAAATTGTCATAACACCAAGCGTTTGCAAATTTGTTGTTTTTCCAAGAGTTAAAAACAGCAAGCAATGTACAATGATCACCTTCCATTTGATTAAATTTAGCCTTTTTAGAATCAGCCAAAGCTTGTTTATCCTTTGGTCGATAGAAAACGTTTTGGACTGAAAGCATTGAGACAATCGTGAGAATTTCATCCGAACAGCCTAAATGTACAGAAATAATCAACATTTTGGAAAGCATGGGTTCTAATGGAAATTCAGCCATTCGTCTACCAAGCCTTGTGAGTAAACCTTCATCATCAAGAGCAGAAAGGGAATGAAGCTGTTCCAAAGCCATGATCAATGTTTCAGTTGGTGGAGCGTCCATGAAATCAAATGATAATAAATCGTTAATTCCCATAGCTTTAAGTTGTAAAACAGTTGAAGCTAAATTAGTTCGTTGAATTTCAGGCACCGGAGTTGTCAACATTTCGTCTCGATAAGCTCTTTCTGTGTATAGTCTGTAACATTTGCCAGGTCCAGTTCTGCCAGCACGTCCAGCTCGTTGTTTGGCTTGAGCTTGGGAAATGGGAGTTACAACCAAAGCATCCATACCAGTTTTGGGATTATAGACATTTTGTTTCACAAAACCAGGATCAATTACGTAAAAAATACCGTCAATTGTCAGTGATGTCTCAGCAATATTAGTAGCAATTATACATTTTCGTGATCCTGGTGGAGCAGGCTCGAAGATTCTAGATTGCATTTCACTGGGTAGAGCTGAATAGACTGGCAATATTAATAATTCCGGTATCTCAGGTCCAAGAGATTTCATTCGTTCGTAGAGTGTTTCACATCCCGTGTCAATCTCTTCTTGACCTGTAAGGAAAAGTAAAATGTCTCCGGGAGGTTCAGTCAAGTGTATTTGCATCACAGTAATAAGTGAAGCGTCTAGATAATCTGTTTCCGGCTCTTTGGTGTACAAAATTTCAACTGGGTAAGATCGGCCAGGAATTGTGAAAATTGGAGCTTCAAAGAAGTATTGAGAAAATTTGACAGCATCAAGAGTAGCTGAGGTTACAATCAATTTTAGTCCGGGTCGCTTTTTAACGGCTTGCTTGAGTAATCCAAATAATACATCGGTATGAATGGTTCTTTCATGGGCCTCATCCAACATAATAATTGAATAAGCATTCAAATCAGGGTCAATAAGACATTCTCGAAGCAACATACCATCCGTCATGTACTTAATAACAGTTTCTGGACTTGTACAATCTTCAAAACGAATAGTGTAACCGACTTCTTGGCCCAATCGACAACCAAATTCTTCAGCAACACGCTTAGCAACTGACATTGCTGCTACTCTTCTAGGCTGTGTGCAGCCAATTTTACCCCGCATAGTGTATCCTGCATCGGAAAGGTATTGTGTTATTTGAGTCGTTTTACCAGATCCAGTTTCACCAATAACGATAAGAATTTGATTGTCATTAACAGCTTTTACCAATTGGTCCTTCAATTTATAAATAGGTAGACTGGCTCGTTGTTCAATAATGGACATTTGAGTTTTTTTACCATATGAAGCTTTAGATCCACCACTTATATGTTTTTTCCATTCAGGAAGTTCTTGTGGAACAGAGTTTGAAGTTCTAGCATTAGCTGCCAGTTCTCGTAACTCATCTTGTGCCATAGGATCAATCCAGCTTTTATTCAAACCAGTGGGTGCACTTTCACCTTCTGCTTCTCGTGCTTGTTGTTTCAACTCTCGACGTTCCTTGGCTAGTGCTGATTGCATCATAGCTGCTTGAGCAAGTGATCCATCGGGATTTTTGACTATTCTGACTGGACTTAAATCCATAGTAGAAGCTCGTCCATGACCTCGAAGAAAAGGAGGCTCTTCCTCAACAATTTCTACTTCAATATCTTCATCATCATCTTCTTCTGGTTTGGGTAGAAGACCAGTGATTTCATCAAAATCTGGAAGACTTGATTTGTCAATCGCATTAGCGTGTAGCATTTGAGTCAGTTCCCACTTTTCGGGTGAAGATATTCGCTGAACAATTCGTCTTCGACTATCTACATCTTCAGCGTCTGGACGATCAACTTCTAAGGGTAACATATCTGGCCTATCAGGATTTCTGGCCACCGTATCATCAGCTTCGTCAATATCACCAGGCCTTTTGATAAACATATTTTTACACAAATCTTCTCCAGTTTCTTGATTGACGTCTCTGATGGATAAGCTTGTCTTCTGTCCATTGAAAGAGAGAACTTTAACTTTTACTTTTTGTCCGCGTGAAACAACATCACTGACATCATTTACTCGGCCTTCTCGTCTGAGTTGAGATATATGAACCAAACCTTCCCATCGTTTTTTAAGTCCTTCCAATTGAACAAAACAGCCGAATTTCATGATATTAGTTACCTTTCCATCATAAATAGCACCAACTTCTGGTTCAAGTGGTAACTTTTTTTCTTTCGGAGGTCTACTATTAACTAATTTTCTTAAACTACGTTCAACACTTTGACTTCTACTCCTACTTGGACTTCTACTTTTACTTCGATGTCGACGGTGTCTATCGCGTGATTGACTGCGACTTGAGCTCCTATGTCGAGAAGATTCATGATCTCGTCTTCTAGAACGGTGAGGACTTCGATGTCTTGATCTACTTCTTGATCTGCTTTTTGATTTATGTCTCGATTTGCCTTCACGCCTCGATCTCGATGATGATCTATGACGATGGGATCTGTCTTTACTTCGGTCACGACTTCTACTTCTTCGGCTCCTCTTACGATGGCTACTATGAGAATGGGATTCACTTTTAGGTTTATCAGATACAGACGCTAGAGATTGGAGTGCAGCCATAGTATCATCTATTTCATCCTCTTCCTTATTCTTCTTCACAAATTTTGATGGCTCCAGGGATTCCAATGCTTTAAAGTCTTCATTTACATCTTTTTTAATATCATCCAATAGCTTTTCACGCACATTTGGATCATTAGGTAACGCTAGAAATGGGTAGAGCACTCTTTTAATGGCTAGATCATCTTTAGATGTTGCTTCAATAGCAGGTCTATCTTCCGCAACCTTCTTTTTAGGCTTCATTCTTTGAATAATCCTGAGAAGATTAGCAATGAAAGAATCGGTGAAATCAGCATCATTTTCTTTAAGAGCCGCTTTAAATTTATCAAAAGTATCATTCTTTTCCGCCAAAGCAATGATAAATTCAGCAAGATCCTGGTCATTAATTCCTAAATGATTTTCCAGCTCAGAGCAAACTTTAGTAACCAAAGAAAGATATTCCAATTTTTTCAACTCTTCTTCTTCTACTTGTTCCATGGTTGACTGGAGATTATACTCACAAATCTAGCAAATTATTAATTTAATTACAGTTACACTTTAAGAATAAAGAAATCAATCACATATTTAAATAAATACTTTCTCAATTATGAGAGTCTGGCTTGATGGTTTGTTTGAAAAAACCTCAACACATGATAAGCGATTGTCAACAGGGCTAAAAACAGAGAATATTTAGTTCAAATAGACTTATAAGCTATTTATCGATAAACACATTTCAATTTTAATTTTTCCGGCAAACCGATTTTCGGAAATTCAGTTTCCTGATTAAAGTTATTGATAAGCTTAGACTTCCTAATTTACGTATTGTTTTCAAATGCAATTAATTCATAAAATTGAGATCTGAGTAATTTAAAGAAAAAATTCTTTGGTGATAGTCTTTATTTGGTTGACAGGCATAAAACCGAAAAGGATTTAGTTACATAAGGTGAGACCAATTCATTAAGTAAATGAAATTGATTCTGGGACGCAATCAAAATATTATGTGTTTCTTTCATATCACGTTTCTTCGAGAATTAATTTTACAGAAATTAGAAGCTAAAAAATTAGCTCACAGTGTTCGCAAAAAGAAATATCATTATGCAGGTGATTGTTCCTAATAACCATTCTGATGAAATAAATAGCATAAAATCAATTTTTCCAAGCCAGGTTGGAATTCATGATACGAAGGTACAATAAATTCAGTGGAGTGTTCAATGGGATTTTTTCATGAGACTAGGTTTGTCATTTTGATCCTGTAATCATTACCGGCAACTTTTGTCTTGCGTATAAATTAATGTTTGTCAGAGTTATGAGTTGATCGACCGAGTGGGTTAATCTGACCACAATAATGCAGAGATGAAAAAGGTTGCATTTCATAAATCGGTATCGATCATGGGAGATTATAAATGAACACAAACATTAAAAATAATTGTGTTATTGAGCAGAGAAAAAAAGAGAGAAGGAGGGTGAGCAAGATTTCATCGATTAGACGAAAATAACACCAAAGTAGAGGTGTGAAATTATGCTTTGTTTCGTTGGTGCACAAATACAATTCAACAATTAAAAGGATTCAATGGAGACAGAAGAATGAGCCAAGGCGAGAAGATAATAAAAGTCCTTGACAGGGTGTATTGATCAGCAGAGTCCATATGATTTATGGAAAAATTTTCTTTTGAATAGTTCTATGGCCCGAGAGATGGATGAAAAAATGCAAAAGAATGGCGATGCAGCTCTCATCAGTAAAAGTCAACAGTTTTCCGGCATGTTTTTCCTTTCCAGTTTTTATCAGATCAACCACAATTTACAGCAATTTATATTTTTCAAAATTTCTTGTTGTCAATCTCAGCTTTTTCCTTGAATGTCAATTACGTTGGATTAACGACCAAATAGTATTAAACTGTTTAGACGAGCAATCATAGATAACTATAGCATTTGCAACCTTTTCTTGGAAATTTCGCTCACTAAGTTGAGAGCAGAATAAAAATTGTGGATTATCAATTACATCGATGCCGATTTCACGGGCCAGCAAAGTTATGTACACATCTTCTAAGAAATATAGATCTTTTCGTGAGGTCAATTTAGCATGGTTAACTAAAAGTATCACAGCAGCTTGAGTCATAACGTACATGGGGCCAGCAGGGTATGGAGGATAACGATCGAGGTAATCTAATTTGAAATGCTGCTCAGGAGGCATACAATGTTGTTGTCTCCACCAAACAAAACAAGGAGCATTCGATTTAAGGAGATGTCCAATAATGGCATGTGAATTTGAAAAAGTAGCTAAGTTAGAAACCAAATTGTCAACGTTGATAACAGCATCATCGTCCACTTTAATATAGTACTTGGCATGACTACAATAATTTTTGTACCATGAAAGACTAGCAATTGTCTTTAAAGTTAAATTTCTCCAATCATCGACAAAACTTAATTGGACGATATCTTGATATATCTCATTCTCCATTAAAATTTCTGTGCTGTCGCCATGAAACACTGAAGATCCCAATGAGAATACGACTTTCATTCCTACCGCCATAGCATCTTTCATCCATGTCGCTCGTATTTGATCTCGACGCTTTTTTGATCGTACACTTGAAATTACCATAATAAATGCCAAAGGCTTTGAATTTTCACAAAGATGCGGTTTGTTGATGATATATTGATCGGTTAAGTTAATAAGTTCACGGTCAATGAATGCTTTCGGCGAACATCGAGGACACCAACGCCCAGTTCGACTGTAGACGAATACTTCCTTGAATGCAGTATCAAACCAGGTTAAATTGTAGACCAAAAGGAATGCAATAACAAAAGTAAAACACGTTTGATAGTATTTTAATCTTGGCGGTGAAGATTTCAAACCTTTTAGGTATCGCAATAAAACAAACATATTAAGAATTCATCAAATATAAATATTTTTTTTGTTGAAATCAAACTGAGAATCCAATGAATGTGATGAATCAACTCCCGGATTGTTCAACGATGTTGTTTCCATTCAAGAATAAAATAGAAGACAAAGATGATTTTGGTAATGGTGGTTAATACTATGGTGGCGGATTTTAAGATGAACAGTATTTAAAAGATTGAAAGATGCATAGGAGACATTTCGATCAGCAAAACAATTACAAGATAGGATAAAGAGAAAATCTATCCGCGATGAGATTCAAATTAATTTGGTCGTTGAGATTGCAGTTGATTTATAGTCGGAAAATTTGAGAGATTGCTAAGCACACATTATCCAGCCCAACTTTCTGTTTTAAACGCAGAAAAAGGGTCATCAGGATTAGGGTTGAGAAAACATTGGAAGAATAAGAGTAAAAAAATATTGACAGACATTTATCCCATCACCAAGCAAAATTGGTAATGAGTTGATTTAATGACAATCCGGGTTTTACATAGCGACTGGTTGACTGATTACAAGTAATAGAATCAAACTAAATGACTTGTTGAAAAGAAGAGAATAGTCATGAAACTGGAAGCATTGAAATCACTTCTTGTAATGAGGAAAATACAGGCTGGCTCAAAGGTGAGAAAGTAGAAAAAGAGGAGAAGAGAGGGAATAAAGAAAGAGAAAGAGAAAGAGGAAAAAAGAAGGAGAAAGCATAAAGGGAAAGAGACAGAAAGAATGAAATGAAAAATTTTTCATGGTGTGTTTCCTTTTTGTTGCTCCTGTGTTCAAAAGTATTAATTGAGGAAAACTCTCTTCATTAATAATTTTTTATCTGTTTTGGCCACAAAACTCATATCTTTTTGATCAAAGATTACATTGGTACCCAAGGTATGTTGATATTGTCCACGGAAAAAACAATTATCAATTTGAAGTACAGGTTCGCTTGTTTCAACGCCGATGAATTTGGCTGAGGCAAGTTTATCTTTCATGGCAAGGCGATCAATTAAACCGGTAAACTCGACCACAAAGTATTTCTCCTCACTCTTATTTACATTACCGGGGACATTGCTATTAATAAAATTATTGTTGTTGCAGTTTTCACAGGCAGTTTCATTACCATTATTGTTCATATTGGATTCAGGCAACTCACTTTCCATAATTATTTATAGTATACACAAATGAAATAAGTTATGCACAAGTAATCAATAAAAAAGATTCACGTGAATATTAAAAAGACAAACTAGCATAAGATGTATACATATTTCATGTGTATAGATTTTCCAGGATCAACAGTGAACGCAATAAACAGATCAAGATGTAAACAATCACCAATAATAATGATAATAGTAAGTAAAACTGGAGTGATAAATGATGAACTTGGAATGGTAAACAAATGAGAAAACTGTTGGTAAATATGTGTTCAAGTAGCAACTGAAAACAATGGCGCCTCAATAAAAATCTTCACATTGCAATGGAAAAGGCTGAATCATTGAATTTTGTCAGGTTGACTCAATTTTAAGCTGCTTTTATAGATTAAACTGATTAGTTATTGACTAAAAGTCTTAACTTGTGACTAATCTGTATCCGGTCTAACCAAAAAATTGATTTTCCTTATTTTATGGTCAATCAATGTGGCATATTTCAATCGATTTGACATTTTCGTGAATCTTTTTAATTCAACTACAGATTTTATTTTTAATTTTTTAAAACATATTCCAAACCAAATTTCAAATTTCATATTAATTATCTTAGTATGAACCCAACAATTCATTAGAATATGATTTTCAATTTGGTTGTTTAAAATCTTAAACTTAAACAGTTTCATTTTTGGCATAATGTTATTGACCCATGCTTTCTACATTTACATGATTGAATTCGAAACAAAGCATATTTTAGGGTATCTAGTGTATTTAATTGAAACATTTGTGTCGAATAGTGTAATTTCAAGAGTTAATATCAACCCTTTAATGCTAATTGAGCTTCCTCTGCTTGTGCTGCTAACCGAGCCTCTTCAGCTTGTGCTCTCAACAGAGCTTCTTCGGCCTGACGAGCCACAGTCCAATTAAAAAAGGCAATCTTACAATGTTCAACAACACATTTGAACGAACAATATTCATTATCCCATTCAGTGTGGGCAACAGGAGAGTTACAACAGCCAATACGTATACATTTGGCTTCTATTTTATCGTCCGATTTTCCGTTAACTGAGCCAATAGGTTCAACACATGTATCCACATTTTTCGATATATCTTGAGTTTCTTTTACTTCATTATTCTCAACAATTTCCATTGGGCTTGTCTTAACTGGATCGAGAACTTTGACATCTGAACTGATCTTGACATCTTTTTCGTCTTTGATTGGATCACTTGTATTTACGGTTGACGGTTCAGGGCCTGGAATGATATCTTTTTTGTTAACATCTTTCTTATCTTCATCCGGTTTGATTGTTTTTTTCACATTATTCTCAGTTTTTAGTGATGCGGCAGTTTGCTTCGTGTTTTTCCTGCGTCTTGGTCGCCTCTTTTTGATACTTTTTACTTTAGCGTCGTTATTTGGTTGTGAATCATCTGATTCATCTGTAGTAGATATTTCATAAACAGAGTCGGACTCATCTTTTGGTTCAACTTCCTTTTTATTGGTTCTTCCAGCGAAATATGGGTTCCGAAAAGATCCTTTATCAGGAATATTCCACAGTTCAGTCATAATATACACAAATCTACAAGCAATTAATCAAAAACTTAAGAATCAGTAAAATGTATTGAAAAAAAATTGAAATAAAGATGGGCGATATTATCAGTATTTACAATAGTCTAAGATATTTTTACAGCTCGATATTTATTGATATTTTTAATCGATAAACCGAATGACGAATGCAGCCTTTTCCGCCGTCAAGCTGCAATTTTAGCTGCTTAAGTTAAAACTTCAGGTAATACATTAAACTTGGTCATGTCTCATCAGAACATCAGAATATAACACAAACTATGTAATAATAAGAGCTTCAATGTTGTTATGGTACTTTTGAGTACAGTAATGATATCTTCAACAAACCAATATTATTCGATACTCTTCTCGATAGTATCGAACATTTGATTTTTTTCAAACATTTTGATTTAAAACTTATAATAAAGATCTGAGTGATTAAAAGATAACTTGAACAAATAATTCATTAATTTTCGCTAAAAGACTTTTCTTTGAAAAGCTAATTATACGCAATAAAGTTGTATCGTTTGATGAAAGTAAAAGATTACAAAATATAAAACTTTCAAAATTGGCGCTTTCCAGGAAACTAAAAACAAAGGCTTACGATACTATCGATAAATAAAATTAACTTATTTTCATTAAAATTGTTAACTGTACTGATGGTGAGTCCTAATTAATCCAGAATAGTAAATATTGCTATAATATTTTAATCTACTTTATCCAAAGTAATGTTTTTTAGCATTTCTGACAATTTGACAACATATTTGATCAATAATTATTGTATTTCCCTTGTTTTCATTCGTTAAAGATGGTAAAAAGTTGGAGCGTCAACAAAATTTTAAGATTTACTGTTTATCGTGTTCACGGATCCTATTTGACTCCACACCAAACCACACCAAACGGTAAAACATAGAAAAGGAAAATATTGAACAATGAAACGATGTAATAAAGATAAAGAAAATTACGTTCTGTAGTTCCAGTATCAGTTCGAATTTTTGATTGAGCTATTCAAACGGTAGTAGCGATGGTGTGAAAAAAATTACCGAGTTAAATTGTGTGGTTCGGAATGGTGCAGATTCAAGTAGGACCCATATTCAGCCGCTCAGCCAAAATGGTGGTACTGAATTAATAGATTATTTTGAGATTTCATTCTCACTCGATGTATTAAAAAACAAAGTCTGGATATTTTCCTCCTTAAACTGAATGCAATAATCAAAATACACATCTGGATCTCGAGTTATTTTTGCGAAAATTGATGATGTTTCAGTCTTCACAGTAAACAATTGTTATTGAAAAGGTCAAATTGCTACTGGAATAAAGATGCGATAGTGTGATAAAATATCAAACGGAAAATTTTTCAACTTTTCAGCAACCAGAATAGTAATGATGTTAGGTCAATTCGCACAGTATTAGCTTTTTACTTATTGTGCCAAAACAACTATATTTATAATACACACCACTACCCTCTTAAGGAAACCTTTCTTCTAAAAAAGTAAGAGAGAAAGTAAGAGATAGTCGAGAAAGAAAGAGTAAAAAACGCCGCAACAACTATATTTATAATAGTTGAAAAGAAAAAATAATTTAAATTATTTCATACGGATTGCTGATATGTATCATAGGTTCAGCAAATGAATGATTTGTAATATTTGAAAGAGTTGATTAGTGATTAACCAATATTTTGGTAATGAGTTTATATTAGAGCGTATTGAATTTACAAATCTTTTATTGATCAACAAGAGGTAAATGCAGACGAATCTGCCTTGAAAACATAAATTGCTAATCAATCCGACTAATCAAGGAATGTATACTTTTAAATGTTTATGATGATTGTTCTTCAACACCATTACAAACATAGTCCAATGCCTTTTCAATTTTATGAGCATGGCTACTCTTAGCATTGACCAAGGTGTGGATCAAGGCATCAGCAATGGCATCAGATGAGTTGGCTGAAGTCATACCTTCGAACAATTTACCGGTTGATTCGATGTTAGCCAAAATGTCGGTGACAGCGTTCAATGGTTCAAACATACCACCAGTCATTTTGTTCAATTGTTCAAGAGCTTTGGTAACAATCTCAAGACCTCCAACCATATTTTTAAGCTGAGGATTGTTCATGACGTTTTCAAGGAAAGGCTGGAAAAGGGCGATTAAACCACCGAAACCAGAATGGGCGACCTTTGACAAGATGCCTTGGACCTTTTCGGTGAGCAAAGATGCCTTGGATGTGACAAAATTGAAAGCACCGCCAACTGCTGAGAAGAAACCACGAGTTTTAATCTGTTGGTTAACCATCTTTTCAAGCTTGTTCAAGTCTGATCGGACAACATCAATGTGACTTTGTAACATGTTTTTGGTTGATTCATCTTTTCCTGACATTTGAAGAAGGGCTAAGCCAACGGTGTCAATGGCGTCTGAAACAGCATCGACTGCGGCTTTGTTGTTCTTTTGGGAAGCTTCGACCAACAAGTCATCCAATTTGTCCAAAAGCTCGCTGTTTGATGAACATCCAACATAAGCTGTAAGGTAAAGTAAAAACGATTAGAAATCAGAAAGATATAATATATAATCAGAAGTGGATATAAATTAAGATTAACTTACCAGTTGAGACGAGAAGAGCTATCACAATTAAAAATGACTTCATTTTTTAATATTGATTACTGGTGCAATCTTGATTTGTTTGTATTCTGGACTTAATGCCAACAATAATAAGCTTTTCACTTGATAATCAACCCATATTTTATACTGAAATCGAGAGAATTATTTGCGTGATTTTAGTTCGCATTTTCACCTGTTTTGCCTGGATGAATTTGACGATGAGCGTCGATTCCTTCAATCAAATTGATGAGTTGCAATGAGCCTGGAAATTACTAAACAAAATAAGATCAAATTATCAATACTTGAGATCGTATAAGCAAATTTTGACAATTTGTCATGACAATGAACCATTATCTTGTCCAACGTATGTATTTCAATTCACATGATGGATGACGTCTTTAACAAATTCTTTTTAACATTCTATCTAAATAGCAGAAATTTTAGCTCAAGTATTAACACATTTTGCTAAATTATCAATTCTAATTAGCCAAGGAATAAAAACCAACCTCAAGATGTTTTATTAATTGAACAAATACATTGTTATCCCATCAATCCCGTGATATTATTTTGACATTAAAATTATTAGATTGACAGACCAGACGGGCTATAGATTTGCAAACTGGAGAGATTTACGTAGCTATGCGATTCGCAAAATAAAGTTCAGTCGCATAGTTTTGCAAACAATATAAATATGATCAGATGCTCTTGATTTTATTTTAATTGGTGTTTAAACATTGTCACTTTAGATCCATCGAGTAAAGCTTGAACAGAAATCATGAAAGTTACAATTACCATCATCACTGTCGTTGCTTTTGCAACATTGACCAGCGCAGGTAAGTCAAGTCTCACTCAAGTCTAACTAAATTGTAAACTGATCTTTAAAGCAATTGCGATCGAGATCTATTTTTCAATTATCCTGTCATGATTTATGTCTAATCTTTTTTTTCCCTTTCCTTTTTTGACTGAAGCATCAAATGAATTTGAACGACGTCTTTCAAGTTTACAATCAACCCTTTCCTCAGCTTGGGAGAAGGCCTCTAACAATGGAAATGCAGGAAAATTGATTAACCAAGCTCTTAAGACTCTCAAGACCGCTTCCTTGGCTGGTGAATCTGATGCTGCCAAAAAAGCTATTGCTCGAATTGAAAGACTCGTCCCTTCTCTCGATAACTTGATCAACAATGGTCCTTCTACTAGAGCAAGCTTAGTCTCAACTATGACCTCTTTGGTTGGTGAACGAAAAGAACTTCTTACTTCTCTTTTAGACCAAACTTCAAAGCAGATGGACAAAGAAGGTAACGGACCTTGGTCAGCTATCCTCAAGGTTGCTACCGATACTGTCAGAGACCATGTTTTGAAAAATGAAAATATCCGAAACATGACTAACAAAGCAGCTGATGCTTTGGACATGATTGAAGACGCTGTAGCACTTCTCAACAACTTCTCTGGTGGTTTACATCCAACATTAAACATGGTTGCCAGTGCCATTGAAACTTTAGATGCTGCTTCAGACACTCTTCTTGACCGTGAAAAGGACGATGACTCCAAGAACATCATTGTTTCAAAGGTTATCGCTATGCTTTACAAGTTGAAAAACACTCAAAACCAGGCTTCTTTTGATGCTATCAACAAGGTATGCGCCAAATTACATACCGCTCAAGATAAATCAAATTAATTCAAGATTAATTGATTCAACACCTATCATAATAATTACAATAAAAGTGATTCGTTAGTTACATCACGTTGCAATTTCTTAACTTACCTTTATGATGATGTTAAACATGTAAAATGTATATCGCCAATATTAAGCATTTTTGCGTCTATTATTGGTTTGTCAATACATGACAATCAAAATTAACTTTCAGTTAATAATTACATCGTATATATATTCATTAATATCTATTATGAATTATCATTATTCACTCGGAACACACACAGAAAAAAACTCGACTCATTTTAGGTCCAAAGAAATTAATTAATAGAGATAACAAATGAGCTAAATAAAAACAAAAGTAGCAAAAAAGCTGGAAAATCCTTGTTGGTAAATTAATTGACCATATCATATCCATTGTTTTCGTAAAATCGTAAAAACAACTTAATCAATTTAAAGAATCAACAAGTTAGTAAACATCAACAAAAAGCTAGTTAGTTAAAAATAAACATTAAAGTAGATAAAATTAATTTATCAGATCAAAATGAACGGTAAACAATAATTTTCCGAGAAACAAATAATTAAACATAAATCGTGTAAATAGCACTCAACAAGTCTATTGCTACAGCAACTATTGGTTCGACTATTAGTAATAGATCAACATATTTGTTGATATTGATCCAGCAACTCAAATGTTTTAAATTTTAATAATTAAAATTTTCTTATTTTATTATAATTTCTCTAGTTTTTTTATCAAAGTTATAATTTATAAGTTTTTACTCATTCACTTTCATTAGATGATTCACTCTAATGACAGTCAACTCAGTGATTAACTCACAATCAATTTTCCTTTTGATTGCAAGTTATTTTTGGTTTCGCACCTAAAATTACTTACCTACAAGTGCTACAATAGACATTAGTAACAATTCAAACGTTATTCTTGTCGGTATCGATTGTATAACAACTTAACCAGCCAATACAGGATCCAGTTAATCTAATTACTCTGTAAATTGCGGCTATGAAATTTTAATTGACTACGGATTCAACCCAAGAGATCGGAGGAGAAACATTGGAAAACACATGATAACGTTATGTTTCTTATCACCAATATTTTCAACACTTATTGAACATCCAAGATGAACAGTGTTAATCAATCGATAAATTTCTTACCTAAAACACTTTCGTTGTAATTCATGATCACCTTGCTATTGAATGATAAAGCTAATGTAAACCAGATAAAAGATGCTGATGATGGTGATGTTTTTTACATAAAACCAACCTTTTCCAACCAACTATTTCTGTGTCGATGATTGCACCGATCAAAGTATTAATTGGTATAATTGTTGGATTTCACAAGAAAAAGACTTTGTTATTAATATGTTAATAGCTGATTGAGCCGAAATGTGCCCTTGATCAAATTAAAATTGAACATTAAACGTTCATTAGAATTAATTGTCAGAGATCTTGAACTGTCACAAAGCTTTTACGCATTCATGTTATGGAAACATTGATAAAAACTAATGTTTCTAAATCACTTTTCTCGCTTTCTTACACCAATAGACAATTATTTATATCTTGAACGGAAATAATTATAATATTATTATCCAAATCAAGATCATCTTTACCAACAAAGGCAACATCTTGCAACTGTCACCAACATGAACTCTTTGAATCCAACAATCGTATAAGCGAACCATGCAAAGGATTCCAATGATTTGTACGAGTTAATTTAAAGTGTTTCCTCTTGCGAATTCACTACTCAATCATTTAATCAAAACTTATTTCAGAAGGAAATTCAACAATTCTGCTTTCTCTCTATGTGTAACATTCAATTTAAATTCACAATTGTTTGCTGCTAAGGTTGACCAGGTTTGATAATCAAATTGCGCTGAATAAATTTCCGTCCACGGATCATTCTGATTCATACAAGCTTCCGTTGGTGTTGATTTTTTTGTTTTCATCCTGTTTAACTATCGTTTATGCTCAACAATCAACGATAATATCTTAAAGGCTCTATTGGCCATCTCATAATGAAATAGTCAGCTGATGACAATGCATAACAATTAAACGAGTAAACAAGCAACGGAAATAATTGAAATCAAAAGCCATTGAATTTAGAGTAAACAACGTTCATCAGAACAATTTAAGTTTCTCAACAAAACTGGAAAAGGCCCACAAATTCAGTCATATTATGTACAATTGGATAGAGCAAGCTAATCCAAGTAACAATTGATTTCCAGCTTGCAGTTGATTAAGCAAGGTTATCAACATTGAAATTAATTTCCATTGTAATCATCAAGGATAAATTTTTTGTTTCAATTTCAAATTCCATAAACTGTTACTCTGAATATCAATCATAAGCAAAATGTATCAATCTTGGGAAATTTTGACCATTTGTTGAGATAAAAATTCTGTAAACTGAATCTTTGTTACAGAAATCGTTCGTCTTTGATCTCGCAATTTTTAAGGTTAATCAAATGGCAATCTGGTTAAGCATTTGTATTGACTCTGAAGCTATAATTTACAGTAAATTCACTTGGAAAAAGAATCAAATTACTTGATTCATTTGAAATTTACATCAATATGTTGCTTAATTGATTAAAGCTGATTATAGCTGATTAAATAACTGCTGATGTTCTAGATCTTCATTTATTGTGGATTACTTTATGATCATTTTATGTTTCAATATAAATTTTCTCAGATGAATAATAAAGTAATTAAATGGTTGATTTCATCATAACTATCAATTGGGTTTCTTTTCGGTTCATTTTGATGTTGATATTAGAAAATGATGGATTGAAACCTTGTTTATGACATTTTTAACTCTTTCTTAGGTATTTCAAATTGTTGTTTCAATTTAACAATAATGTACATTGAAATTAAAGTAACAATGAAATTGAACAATCAAAAGTAAACAAGGTTTTGAAATGATTCACAGTTGATGGTAAAATCTTGTGTAAATAACCTTCGAAGAGCTTCTTGTGATAGTTTTCAGTTACAAGATGAATGTTGAATAATACTAATATTAGATGTTAATGAAAAGGTTTTACAATTAAAAGATGATCATCAATACCATTGGATAGTTGAGGTACAAATAAATCATAGCGATTCAATTGCGTTGAGAGTTGGTTTTGCGTAAAATTTCTGGTTTGGCTGGAAATCAATTTGCCAGTCAGTTAAGCACTCAAGCTGATTTCCTTGATTTGTAAACGTTCATTAACTGCTTATTACGATCTGTAAATCACTTAATTACTCTTAATTTTGCTACCGAAAATTAACGAACAATTTGTCTTGATTTGCAAAAATCAAAATAATAAGAAGCCAGGGTTTTTTCAGCTCTATGAACTTGGTAGAGAATCAATGGCTCGATCAGTTTTATTTACCAATGAAACACAGCGTTGGGCTTTTAACTGGTCTGGTAAATGTTTAGGAGGTTAACGTTGGGTTAATTAATGGTCTGGATCTTGTGAACTAGTGAGACCAACACTTTGTATTGACAACCGTTAACAACAGCAAACAGGTGATTGAAATAATTGGTTGAGTAGTCGATTCAATCAGCAAACCTATTCTAATTTGTAACCTTTTAATTGCAAGGTTTTTTTCCATCTCGTTCAGTCAGTTTAACTGGCAACTGTTCATTTTGACAAAGCACAAAGGAAAATCATCGTTGTATATTGAACTGAATTGAAAGCCATCTCAAATCTCTTTTAATCAACCTTGATAATGATAATAGTAATAATAATAATGATGATGATGAAAATGAACACTAACATACCTGTGAAAATAATTAAACATATGGTCAAGACAAGGCAAGAAAAGGCAATGAAATGAACAGTAAACAAAAATAAAAGTTGAAAAATATTTACAGAGTTAAAGCTTGTTTGCTTCCTTATCAACATGAATTTTGATTTGATTCAAGTTCTGATTCGAGAGATTCAAGTAATAGAAGTAGAAATAAATTGTAATTAAAAATTGTGGACCTTTGAAACCGAGTAAAGTATTAGTAAACAACATTCTTTCCGGCAAAAAGGAAAAAAATCAAACTCTAGAACCTTTCTGTTGATGATCAACCTTAATGATCATTTCAATAATTAGCCTTTTGCTTTTTGATGTTTTCCAAGTATTAAAACACAATTTAACTCTTGTAACTATTTCAACTTTCATTTCACCATTAAACTGATTATTCAAACCTCAAGGGCTCCATGTGAAGATGATGGTAATTAATATAATGATAGAAAGTTAAATGATGAAATCAATCCAATCTACATTGTAGACTGTTTACATTTTAACACAGCAGCAAGAAAAAGTGAGCGGGAAAAGTGAAACCACAATAACATGGCTGGTTGGTTGAAAAATACAATTTGTTGACTAAATTAAACACTGTTAATTATTCAATTACATATTTTTATAATCTCCAGACACTAGGTAAATAAAATAAAATAACAAATAAAGATATAATCACAATTAAAATGGCAATTTTAAAATTAAAACATGGAAGGTAAAAAAATGGGTAAAAAACAGCTTCAATGGCTTCTTTTCTGGTTAAAGGTGAAAACAAAACAAATGGCACCGGGAGAAACACTGAGAGAGCCAAAGCATAACATTATGCTTTCCTTTTCTTTATAAAATGAAAATGTTGATTGAAACATCATTAAATGTAAATGTAAAATGTATACTAATTAAAATTATAATTTATCATGGTGAGTTAAGATTATTCACAATTAACCAGTTAATCCATCGGAAGTGTTTAATCCTTCAAATCTCTTCCTAGTTCACAGCTTTTAATACCAGCATAATTTTAGGTAAGCCAGTATGCTTTTTATGCTTTCATGCCTTTTCTCCATTGCCTCTACAAACCCAAAGTTTACTTTCAAGGTAAATCACTTCTTTTGTTAATCAATATCCATTCCTTTACACCATTATACAATTAAATGATTAGTGAACGTCATCAACAACAATATCATCGCCATCAACATAATCATCATTCCTACCATCCTTGTTCAATTCCTTGTTTAATTTAATCAAAGTCGATAACAATTTTACCATTTGTTAACATCTCGCATCTTTTCACCAAAAATCAATATGCAACCATTAATTGTAATAATTGTCATCCAATGACAATTACTTTTCGTGTACTTATTACCATTTTTGATACTTTGTTCAGTTTGAACTTACCATGATCATCTTCCTATTCATGATCGTCATTAATATCTTTAAAAATACGATCAAATCTCATCTTTTACATTATCATCATCTCATCAACCATTGTAATAATTAATCGCCATTTGTTACCCATCATTACATAATATTACCTATTCATCTTATTGGTATTACAATTAACACTTCAAAGGTAATTATGATTATAATTTTTGTTAATTTTAATTTGCTTTCAATTGTTTCCATTCATCTCTTTCCTCTTTTAATGTGTTGATAACAAAATTAGATTCGTATTAAACTGGATCATCATCATTCTGATTACTTGGATATTGAACTGAACATTTCTCTAACAAGGTAATTTCACTTATTTTTACAAATGAAAAGCTTGATAAGTGCCTCGCCGTGTTATTCAATCTTACAATTTGTTACCAAATCAAAGATTGTTGTTTTTTGGTTTGATAATATTTTCATGTGTTATCATTTAAAACAATCATTTAATTGTTGATCAACAATCTGTCTCATCACCAACTAATTAACCCTTTTATTTACTGTCAACCAATAAAAAATTGAATTGATTGTCAATATAAAAATGCTGGTAACCAAAGGAAAAGTAAATCTGGATCAACATCAATATTATTAATATATTAATGGTCTAAACATGTGATATAACACCGTAATTTAATAATGTAGATACAGACAGAGTACAATCAATTATAAATACAGATGAATTAATAAATTGTCCAATTTGGCTTGTTTAGTCTATTACAATTAACCCAGAAGAAAAGGGAAACCAGAAAACCAGTTTTTTTCACCTTACCAAGTACACTTCAAATGGTTAACATTGAATAACCGTATTGTTTTGTTTGATTACAAATTATTGATTGTTGATGATTAAAAGTCTAACAAATGAAATAGCAAGAATCATCAATAGCTTGATTATCAATCAATCATTAACAGTAAACTTGTAACATCAATTGATATTTATATTTGTTTATCAATGAACTTGTCAGCTTATTTCTTAATACTAATTATAATTTTTGCTTCTTCATTTTCATTTTAATGATGATTTTAGGCAAAATTTGAGACTTTAATTGTTTCAGCTGTTTATCTCAATCAACTGATCAGTATCACTGATCACCTCTATCAAGCTAGTTAACCTTTTATGTCTCAAATTAGATGAAAGCAAAAAACGTTCAAATCTGTGAAAGTAGTTAGTGATGTTGGTTAAATTGTTGGTTAAATTGCAGCCAAGAGTTGATTAGTTAAGAGTGCCAATGATATAAGTAATCAGTTTGAATATACAATTTGGTTAGAGTCAATCTCATTGAGTAAAGTGAACCAGTAAGATGTGAAAGAGTGTTGAACCTTTACATGAATGTTTACCAGTTTTTAACCAGAAGACAGGTGAATATATGATCAATTGTAACTAATTCATGTTATCGAGTAATAAATTTACAAAAGTGTTAAGTGTCATCAAAATAACAAACAATCATCTCACCATTAAAATCATCATTTACCGCAGCGTATTCAACGAAATCATGTTAACCGATTATTACAAGGAAAAAGGTTAGTTAAACTGATTGTTAGACTAATAACCATTTCAATATGGACTAATCAAAAGCTTTTAATTTTGATCAAAAATCTCAAAGAGAAAGTAAAATCTTCTGGTTAACCCAAACTCAACCTTATTCTGGTTACCAAATCTGGTTAATTTTGACTTGTTATAAGCTTAATTTTAATGGTTTGTGGTGATTTTGATGATTATGATGTTAGGGTATTATGATGATGAATTGGTGTCGGCAGATTTTTCATGATTAATAAATAAGTTATTCAATATCCATACTGATTGTGACTTTGAAAAGTGTACATTTGTACATTAATTTGTCGTTTCTTTTATCTCACAAGCAAACAATTGGTATTTTCAATTTGTAATTACAATTAGGAAGTTTTTATACCTTGATCCTTATTAGATGTGAAACAATTAGCGACAATCTAGGCATTTACACTTTTAATTGTGATCATATAAAACAAGGTCGTTTGATTATCTATTGGTGAATTGCCTTTTCAGTTTCATATTCACATCTTTTTGTTTTGTTTTGTTTCATTGGCACTTTTTCATGTCGTGATTACAACGTGTCAACCAGATTTGTGTCTTGTTTTAAATTAAATTCAAATCTCTGATTTAACCTTTTTAATAGCTTTTAATTTGATTGTATCATCTCATTATAACAACCAGCTGACAAACAGTTAAACACGTTCACTTTTAAATTGAAACAAATCACACTGAGTGACAATGATAAGTGGATATGAAACAATTTTCAAAAATGAAAATAAATATCAACATTCATGATCAGTCAATTTATCATCATCAAAATGACAATCATGTTGATGTTGTTGTTAATGATGAGCTTGATGATGATGATAATAATAGCACTAATGATCAACAATTTACAAAGATAATAGGGGTTAATTTTTCCCATCAAATCAATGGCAAACTCATTGTTAATTATTGTAAATTTAATATTTTCATTTTTCCATCAGCAAAGCATTTCTTTTTACTACAAAAAGTCCAAATTGAGTCTCTATTATCATTACCTTTTCAATTGACTTTGTTTTCCTAAATCCATTACCAAGAATTAACCTTCAATTGGTTAAATTGTTTGATCAGATTGTAATGAAATTGGCCAACCAACAGACAATTCAAATAATAGACTTAAACAGGCAAATGGTTTGTTCAAAATGGTTAAAATTATGGGTTAAATGCATAACAATCCTAATGAAACCAGTGTATATTGATGTGTCTTTTATTACAATGAAAACAACTGATTTTATGCTTGTTGATTTTTAATTGTAATATCGATGGCAATGACTGATTAATCAGAATTGATAAATCATCACGTTTTCGGTGAAAACTGAATGTTAGACATTCCATCTCTTCATTTACTGTCTACTGTTTCTCTGTCTATCAATCTCTCTCTCTCTCTCTTCCATTATCATCTTCTCCACCTTCACCACCTCCTACCTCCTTACATATTTAATCATATTTGATTTAATTATGAGCATGAAAACTCCTCTTCAACTAATCAACATCCCACCCATTCCGACTATCTCAACCTTACCCGATTTATCAACAATTATCAGGCAAATTGCTCTCTCTCTCTCTTCCCTGCTCTTTATTATTAGACAAAAAAAGTGAAATATCAATGATAATATTGTCGACTGAATCTTCATGACGTCCACTGAGTAAGTGAATTGAGAAACAAATGAAGAGGATGAAAGATATTCGGAAATGATAATTGGTAAACCAGAAAAACATATGATGACAATTTTGAGACAACAAGTTGCTTAGGAGAAAGTATAACAATGATGATCAGGATGAGAGAGAGATGATGATGGAAATGATGAAGATGATGATCATGATAAACGAAATAATTTCAGTATATAAATATTTATTATAATCAACTTTGTTTTCCCTCGTAAACATCATTTCTGATCGTTCAGTGCCGCAAGCAACAACACTTACTTACAGTGATTTTTACAAGATATTCAAGTTGTATTTTCATTGAAATCAATTTTCATCTTTAATCAGCTAACCATTTGTGTGTAAGTGTGTTTAAATTTTGTTCAAATAACATTAGTGTTTGTTAGCCGCTATTTTATATTCATTGTGTGTGTTTTTTGCTTTTGAGACAAATCGTTTTTTACACTTCACTTTCAATTGTTACTCTAACCTGTACATTGATTTTTCATTTCCTTACCAAATTTTTGTCAAAACAGGGTAAATCATTTAAATTACCTGTCATCATCAACTTACTGGAACGTGCTTTTAATCAACGCCACAACAATCATTCAGTCAATAATCAAGTTCATTTTAATTAACTGTCTGTAAAATCAACACAAGATTAAGTTTACTGCAGTTACTCTTGTTTTTTGCCAGTCTTTTTACTGCCAACTTTATCCTCAACAATTTCCTTCATCGTTCTCTTGAAACTCGTTCCAATGTTCTAAGGACGTTGAAACTGGTCGTATGTTAACCCAAAGACTGAACAAAGTGGCGAACAACGAACTGAAACATCCCTGATAAGTAAAACACAAAGACGTATGTCAACCGTTTTCACTTTAACCCATTATTTCTCTTTGCTTCATCTCTTTTCTTCACTCAACATTCGCATTCTAATTGTATTTCAATCTCACTCTAACTCCTTTTGTGCCCAACAATCGACTAATTATCCATTTGACAGAAGCAAAAAGATAATCTCGATCATAATTCGAAACAGAAAAGTTTAGTTTCTAAGAAAAGTCAGTTTACCAAAGGAGCAAAAAGTAGATGAAAAAAGAAACCCAAAACCCTTTGTTGTCCTTTTTCTTGTTACTTTTCAAATGTGTCCATCTTTGTTCAATGTGTTGCACTTTTTCTTCTTATCCTCAATTGATCAATTCAGTTGACTTTTTTTGAATAGTGATTCATCGAGAAATCCTTTTTTCTTCAATTAAACAGAGTAATTAAACGGGAAATCAAATCTTTGTTGGAAGTGAAAGTTGACGATTTAAACGCAACAAATACCAAGATGACTGATATAATTGGACAAGCAGAATCAGCTATTCATAAACCAGTTAAAAAGAAAGGACGAATCAATAGGATGAGAAAAGTTCCATGTTTAGGAATCTTTTTCGCCATTCTTTATGCATTCTTCATGTCAACAGCAGTTACTGCAGTTAAACTTATAAAGATTCATCCTGTTGAAGTGCTCGCCTTAAGGTAAAACTCAGTTTTCTTTATATTCAATTCCTTGTTAGTCTTGAAAATGACCAATAACTTCAATAACAAGACATTTGCCTGAGCCTTTGCTTCAGAGATTCAATTGCTTCCAATTTTTGGCTTCCAATTGACCACGTTTTTCAATCCTAGTCCATCCTTATAACACCAATGGTGAATTTGATTGAATCTGTAATGAAAGGAAAAGAAAATCAGATTTTCAGTTCTAGAATTGTCAAGGTTAATGACAAAATGGAGTTGAAAAGGTATAATAATTTGTATAGAATGGATCACTTTTTTATCAATTTTTTGACAATCAACCTGTATTGGTTAAGACTAATTGTCCAGACACTTCATCCCAATTGAAGGTTCAAGTTATTCAATCTAGAAGTGAACATGAAGACAGCTTTAAAATCTCAATTGTTTCTTTTAACCGTTAATCAATTTGAAAATGATCTTAATATACATTAATTGATGAACGATAAGACTGATATAAAATGTTAAATCTCCTCAATTTAACCGCTATTAGTTTATGACAGATAATCTAAGTGACAGTTTCAGTTATCCACTTAAACTGTAACCACCTTTGCTCAAGAAGAGAGTAAGTTAACACAAAAATCTGGTCAATGGGTTGTTTGATTGGAACACATTCCTCAGACAAGTTCTAATTAGCAATCAATTAGAAGTGATTATTAGATTATTTTCATCTAATGCAATTAAAGTCCTTAATAGTATAGCAAGTTTCATTCATAAAATTCATAACAAGTTATCAAGATTGTAGCATAAATTAGCTTCATATGTGAATCTGAAGATAATGAAAATACGTGTACGAATGTATAATAAACTAGAACTTTCACACGTCATGAAAAAATTCCCTTGGAATTGAGATACGAAAATAGCTCATTATTTAGTTGAAAATGATTAACACTGTTATTTCCCTTTACCAGATCAGCCGTCCAAGCCATATTTTTTGGTGCAGTTTCACTGTACAATAAAAGATCCTTTCTGGGTGCGCCTCAAGAGAAATGGTCACTCCTGGGTCGGGCTATTTCTGGTGCTGTCAATCAGGGTTGCTGGTACACCTCTGTCCGTTTAATATCATTAACAGATTCTTCGGCTGTTTATTACAGTGCACCTGTTTTTGTTGCTTTGTTAGCATACATTTTTCTTAAAGAACCTTTTGGCTTTTTTGAAGTCATTTCCATTGTGGTGACAATCGCTGGAGTCATAACCATTTCTAAGCCTTCTTTTATTCCTATTTTTGGCAACCAAACTGAATCTCTTAAAGGTGAACACATGGAGGGTCTACTTTACGCCCTTGGTGGAGCCTTAACCTTTGCGTGTTCCAATATTTTTCTTCGTAAATTACAGAAGACATCAACGGAAATAACCAGCTTCTGGTTCTCCATGGCATGTATTATCCTTGGTGTCATTACAGTTGCATGGTCTGAGACTTTTACCCTTCCTAGAGGTTTCTTTGAATGGTTCATCATTTTAGCTTCTGGAATCTCAGGAGTCTTGGGCAACATTTGTTTTGTGACTGCTCTCAAAATTGAAAAGGCTGGACCTGTTTCGGTAGCACAAACATGCAACATTGTTATCGTCCTTATTTATCAAATTGCCTTCTTTAAAGAACCTCCATCAGCCAATACTTTTATTGGTGCCTTCCTCATAGCCTCATCAGTAGCAATGACTGGTAAGCCTTTTCCCAATAAGTGCAATAATATATTTTTATCAATAATAATAATTAACCAACCTGTAAACAAAAGTATCAGTCTGGTGATAGAAATCGTTTCAGTATGATGATTCAGTTACATTGCAAGTTGAAATGGATGTTTGAATAAATGTTAGTTCTGATTAATTTAACTCGAAGGCCAAGGCTATAATTGTTAGTTTAGATTTGTTGACTTTTCTCTGAATACTAATTAGTATATATTTTTCACTCATAACGATACATTTGTTTGGTGTAAATAGCATGATTGCACTAATTAATTTATCCTCAAATCTATCGGACCATTGAGGGAAAATTGACTATTTTTTGTAAAAAAATGAATTCCATTCGTTTGGTTTTAGTGCACTCTTCAGTTATCATTTCAATGATCAATAATTAGATCACCATTGAATCGGTTTCGAGCCTGTTCAAACCAAATCCTATTTGGTAATAGTTATGATAATATTCTTGAATCAGCATTGACTTTTGCATCCATGGCGTGAAAGGGAATCAAAGAAGAAATATCTAGGCTAATTATTGGTAAAACAATGCTATTACCCATTAATATTAAATATTCAATCTTGTTCTTACCTAATAGATTTTAATCTTCATATTGAAAATGAAAAGAAGCAATTAGTTGAGATAATGAAATGGGTGGTTTTAGGTGATAATTGGGTTAACGGATTTATTAACTTTTAACTTTAACCTATGGAAGAGAAGAGAAAGAAATGGTTATTAAATTGTTCTTGAAAAAGCAGAATAAAAAAGCTCGGCTCGATTAAAACAATGGCGATAATCCAGATTGAAAGGGAAGAGAGAATGTGAATAATTCAGGTTTTGAGGTTGAATTTCATAATGTTATACACAATTGTAACATCTTTATCATCACGTAGAGACATTTAAACTGAATGATGACCGTAATGCGACAGTTATTGATGAATAAAATGAATAATATCATTGTTATGATTCCTTGTTTGATTCAAATTAAATATTCATTCTAATTCTAATTTTTTCATTCTATTTTCACAGGATTGAAAGATGTCTTCAAGGAAACACAATTTTTGACCAATTTAAAAAATTTTGCCTCAAACACAGTGTCATATCAAGTGGACAGTAAACTCACAGGCAAACCAGCAACACAATCAGTGGCCGGTAAATACATGCCTTACAATAAGGAAGAGATGTGATTGGAGTCAAGTAAACACCATTTGTAAATACTGTACATAAAGTCAAGTATTAAAAAAAAGTTAATCGAAGTTTAATCCATTGGAATTGACAAAAATTTCACCCGCGCGGGGATTCGAACCCCGGACCTTTGGATTAGAAGTCCAACACGCTATCCACTGCGCTACGTGGGCCGATTTCCAGAGGTTGTACTAATGCACGAACCAAAACGTGTTGTAAATGCCTTTACTTGGGGCGAAACTCCTGCATCTTGTTTACTTGTAAACATTAATCATAAATATATAAATAAACAAGGGCAACGCAAGGGAATACAGTTTGTTTAACGTCTGTTAGTTAATTAGCTTTTTTTGTATCATTTGACAAATAAATATTTTTGGATTCCGAAATAACAATAAATTTGTTTCGTCTATAATAGTATTGACCGGCTTTATTGTATGGATGTATATACTATATAGTAGATATTATCGTTAAATCGATTTAATTAAACAATCTCGATTTAATACAGTCAATGGTTCAAAAAAGAGTCAAATAATTAAAAAACTAAGATTGAACTTGGTGAAATAGGTGCAATTGATGCGAAAAACAGACGTTTCTCAGCGTTTCCTTCAAAACGATATATCATTGAAATCATCGATATGAAATCGACTTGAAATTATCGATAAAAATCGAAGATGTTGATAGATCGCACACCTCTAAGTCACTCTGAATATGTAAATAAACAAGGGCCGCCACATGCGTTTTAAGCTCCTCAGTTTTTTAATTTTTCAGTGATTTTATATATTTGCATATAAGTATATATTTATTATTATATATTTTGAATTTGTGAAGTAATAGTGAATCTAGTAGTGTGTAATAATAAAAGTTTAAACTTACCCTTCGAATAGTAAATTGTGCTTGAAATTTCGAATCTTCACCCGCACTGTTTCTGCTATTGTTTTTCCAACATGGACACAGAGTTGAACATAGCAACCGAACTGGTTAAGCTGGTCAAAAGTGACCAAGATATGATCACCTCGATAGGCAAAATTTCTCTACCAAAAAGCATCAAGGCTAAAGCTAAAATTATAACAAAGCTCAACGAAATGCTCGAAAAGTTGGAAAGCGATAAAAATATCGAGAGGAATGAAAAATGCCGCCAAGCAGAAAGAGCATGGTTCTGTGTTAGGAAGCTCTTGGAGGTTAGAGAAGGCTAAGAAAAGGCCATCTGAAATGTTGCTGAGTTGTTCATTTAACGTCTCATTGTTAATTAGCTTTTTTGTATCATTTGACAAATTAATAATTTTGAATTCAAAATAGCAATAAATTTGCTTCGTCTATAATTGTATTGAACGGCTTTAGTTTAAGTTTAGTCGATTCTGAATACATAGGTGTTTAGGAAACACGTGTTCATTATATGAAGAATCTTTAATCTAATAAATTTAAAGAGCTTGTCTTGTTTTTAAATATTCATTAATAATATCTTGTGCCGGCGTTTCCTTTCCATAATCCTTAATCACAACACATTTACAGCCGACGAATCTCTTACCGTCATGGATTTCAATCATCACTTGGTTCATCCCAAGCTGTTGCTGAAACGCAAGGACTTTTCGCTTCAATTTTTATTCAAGTTTTCAATGCTTTAAGTCAACTTCGCCTATCAAAAATGACCATTATGAAGCTGTGAACAACATTCATTTTAAATTGAATTGAACCGTACCACTTAGGCACCTTCCCTTGTTAGATTCTTCAAATCGCCTTCTTTAAAGAACCTCCATCAGCCAATACTTTTATTGGTGCCTTCCTCATAGCCTCATCAGTAGCAATGACTGGTAAGCCTTTTCCCAATAAGCACAATAATATATTTTTATCAAAAAAATAATTAACCAACCTGTAAACAAAAGTATCAGTCTGGTGATAAGAAATCGTTTCAGTATTGATGATTCAGTTACATTGCAAGTTGAAATGGATGTTTGAATAAATGTTAGTTCTGATTAATTTAACTCGAAGGCCAAGGCTATAATTGTTAGTTTAGATTTGTTGACTTTTCTCTGAATACTAATTAGTATATATTTTTCACTCATAACGATACATTTGTTTGGTGTAAATAGCATGATTGCACTAATTAATTTATCCTCAAATCTATCGGACCATTGAGGGAAAATTGACTATTTTTTTGTAAAAAAATGAATTCCATTTGTTTGGTTTTAGTGCACTCTTCAGTTATCATTTCAATGATCAATAGTTAGATCACAATTAGATCAGTTTCAAGCCTGTTCAAACCAAATCCTATTTGGTAATAGTGATGATAATATTCTTGAATCAGCATTGACTTTTGCATCCATGGCGTGAAAGGGAATCAAAGAATCACTTTTTCAATGACTTATTTCGCCATATTGTCCACCACCCAAATCTAACATATCAACCAAAGCAAACTTCATCACTTTTTAAAGAGACTTTTCTCAACAAAATTGTCCAACACTTTCATCCATTACATTTATAATGAATTTTAAATAAGATTTTCGATCACCCGAATCCACCAAATTATTCACAACTTTTCGGATATGATAGATATGGAAGTTCCAAGCCCCCTTAGCGATCTGTCACAGTC